AAATGGATATTATTCTTGTGATTTGTGAGTGGATGTTTCAGGGAAGTTTTCCCCCTATGTGTGTGTATTTATTTCGGCCTTAGGCCCTTTTGTGAGACTCACATTGTAATTCCATTTTCCATTTAGTAATACACTTGTTGTGTTTGCTATTTAAATTCCTAAATCTATATCTTAAGAGTGGTTATCTTAAGTGTGAGTTTTAGGTTCTAGATATTTAATTAAGTGTGTTATATCTTAATTAAGTTCTAGACTTAACCCCAAGTTAAGATAAGAGTGTGTAATATCTCTTAAACACCAACTTGGTTTATCCCTTCACTTTACCTCTGCCAATTTCATTTCTCACCATTTCTTCTTCTTGAACTTATTCTTTTCTTTCATCAAAAACCCAAAAAAACAACTCTTTGTTCCACCCCCATATTTTGTCTCCCTCATTTCCTCTTCACCATCCCATAATTCCATCTTCAAATAGCAACTTGATTATACCCCGGGTCTCGGGTATAACAGGAATTGAATTGGAATTAAAATTCCATGGGATTCAATTCCATAGAATTGAATTCATCAATTTTAATTCAATTTTTAAATTACCAATTCCAAATCCACATATTTTTTGTGCTACCAAACACGAGAATTGGAATTGAAGTGCTCAATTCCAATTCCATAGTTTGAATTCCGTGTACCAAAGGGCCTATGAGTATTAAGAGAATTTCCCCTTCACACCTTTATTCTCCGTGTTCCTTTCACACGAGGAGGTTTTGTTCCAATACATCCGTCAAATTTGATTTTTTGGAGTCATTGTTTTTCCAGTTTGGATTTAAAAAACCAAACTGAAAAAATAGTTTGCATATATTACAAAAAAATAATGTTGTGTTTCATTTATCTGATCTAATTTGATTTGATTTTTTGAAATTCTGATTTGGTCTGATTTGATTGAATCTGATTTGATCTAATCTAATTGAATATGATTGGATATGATATGATATAAATTTGATTAAGTTAAAAATTAAATTTTAGTATAATGGTTGTAATAATAATAATAATAGAAATATTAATAATAATAGTAATAATAATAATAGTAATAATAATAATAGTAATAAGAATAGTAATAATAAAAATAACTATGATAATAATACTAATAATAGACAGAGTAATAATAATATTAGTACAATGACAATAATAATAATAGTAGTTGTAATCATAATAATAAAAGTAATAATAAAATTATTAGTAATTATCATAATAGTAGTAATTACAATAAGAATAGAAAAAATAATTATTGTCATAATAATAATAATAGTTATAGTAATAGAAATAGTAATAATAACAATAATAATACTAAAATAGTAATAATAACAATAATTGAACAATAATAATAATAATAGTAACAATAATATTATTATTAATATTAATAGTAATAATAATAATAGTAGTAGTAGTAGTAATAATAAAAATAAAAATAATAATAGTAATAATATTAGTAATAGTAATAAAAAAATTGTAATAATAAATATAATTATAATAATAGTAATAATAATAGTAACACTAATAATAGTATTAATATTAATAGTAATAATAATAATAATAACAATAGTAATAATAATTATAATCATAATATTAATAGTAAGAGTAATAATAATACCAAGAATAATGATAATAATAGTTATAGTAGTAGTAGTAGTAGTAGTAGTAGTAGCAGTAACAACAACAACAACAACAACAAGAATAATAATAATAATAATAATAATAATAATAATAATAATAATAATAATAATAATAGTAATAGTAATAGTAATAGTAATAGTAATAGTAGCAATAATAATAATAATAATAATAATAATAATAATAATAGTAATAATAGTAATAGTAATAGTAATAGTAATAGTAATAATAATAATAATAATAATAATAACAACAACAACAACAACAACAACAACAACAATAATAATAATAATAATAATAATAATAATTTTGTTTAGATTTGGTCTGATCTGATCTAATGTGATCGAATTTGATCTCATCTAGTCAGATCTGATCCGAATTTAATAAGAATAAATAATAAGCAAAAAAAATAAGTTGAACAGAACGCTTCCTAAATTAAAATAGTATGTTCCGATGATCTAAATCAAATCACTATTCTTATATTTGGATTTATTTGAATAAACCAAACTGTTCGCCATTCCCAAAGAAATATTAAGAACATTTTTAAAACATAAAGATAATCGATACAATTTGTCAGTCTTTTTTGTGGCACTTACGATTCTCTGTTTGCAAACTTAATGATTACTACTACACACTAACCCCAACCTTAACCCCTATTGCCTCGCGCCCCAATTCCTCTTGCCCATTGCCAATCTGCGTGGAAGAGAAGGGAGAAGAAATAAGAACTATGTCCCTCGGATTTAGGAAGGTTTAGAAGAAATAAGAATTACTCCCTCTGTCCCATTTTAAATTATCTGTTTTCCTTTTTTTCTCCGTCCCAAATTAAATTGCATGTTTCTTGTTATCGTAAACTTTTAAGAGTAAAATACCTAAACTATCCCTAAAATAAATTACTCTTCTCCACCTTATCTTCACATTCATCGTTGTCCTTTCTAAAAAGTAATGGCAATTTCGGAAAGTCAACTCTATTTTTTCTCTTCCTTAAATGTCTCAAAGTCAAAACGGACGATTTAAAACGGGACAGAGGGAGTATCAATTTTACGAAGAAAACTTCGTAGCTGCATCAATTGAAACCAGGGTCATCGAATACCACTAAAACGCAGCAAGAAAATATAAATACCAAAGCTTAAATATGGAAGGAGATGGTTGTGGAAGAACATGGAGGCGGAGGTAAAACAAAGAGGATAAAGATGGCAAAGGGGGAGTTAGTAGGTGGCTGAGAAACCGAGAAAGGTGAGAGATGGTAGGGTTGAGAAGTAATTAAAGGTGAGAGAGCAACTTAGGCCAAAGGGTATAAATGACCTTTTGGTTTTTTTTTTTTTTTTGGCCAAAAGGAAACGGGGCGAGAAGATAAAAAATGGATGGAGGGAATACGGATGAAAGCTTAAATAGCTGTAGGTTAGTTTGAAACGTTATTTTAAAAATAAACAATGTTTGAATGATAAACAAAATAGAATTACACCTTTACGGAGTACTAGTTTATTGCGGAGTATGCTGGGTTTCAAGGGAATCATCTTATTGCATCAAAATAGTTTCTCATTCCCGTCCCAGTTCACATCCTGATCCTGCAAAGACAAGGGATATTATCTCTTGATCAATCGCACTTACCAAGAGAGCTCTCGCATATGCTTAGAGCTTTGAAGCAGCTCCCTTGTCCAAAAACCAAACCAATTGCCCTTCGGGCAAAACCATTTGCACGGGCAATGAAACCGCATTCTGACTGCCTCTCAATGCTGAATACACAGCATCCGCCTTGGAAGCGCCGGGTACAACAAGTGCAATGTTTGCAGAAGAGTTTATTACAGGCAATGTGAGAGTGATCCTTTCTGGAGGCGGTTTTGGAGAGTCCTTGATGAATGTTGCCCACTTCTCCTTCTCTTGGAGAAGAGGATGACCGGGAAATAAAGAAGCAACATGCCCGTCTGGACCCATTCCCAAAAGCATTAGATCGAATTGTGGAAATCCACTAGCCTCAGACGTACACACAATGTTGGTTTTGACCAAGTGCTTGAGGCAGGTATCATAATCATCGGCTGCACCTTCAGCAGACAAGACATCGTTTATGGCATACACATTACCAGCAGGAATTGGTATCTGCAAAAGAAGAGTTAACTCTAGTTGCCTTTGTTTTTGGGTACTCAGGTGTTCTTTATATTGTACATATCTTTAATAATAACCTAAAAATAATGTCAAGATCAATAAAAATGAAGATGTAATGAAAACTTTCAAGGATAAGGAAAACTTTGTTGCACTCCTAATGCTCAATTTTGCTCTCTTATCCTAAAATCCAATGACTCTTCATGATAACAAGTTACTATTTATCTCTGACTTGGACTCCCCAATCAATACAATGCCATTTGCATAAAACATAAAACATGTACCCTGTCATAGATTGACCTAGTTAACTAATCAACAATAGTTCCACAGAATAATGCACTTGATGCTAATTAGGGTTGTTTTATATAGATACAATTATCAACAACAACGACAACAACCCAGTTAAATCCCATGAGAGTAGGGTGTGGATTGGACATTTTGGTACACTTAAATTCATTTTATTAACTACTCGTAATTAATTAAGTATTATTTAGAGAATTAAAAACATTAAGTCTAATATGGAAAAAGTGACAATGTTTTAGTCTTATCTAGGTCATTCTCATTCCAAATTATAAGGGAGGTACTATTAAGTGTAATACAATTATACAAAACCAATATCACTAATTCGTCTTTATATATAACAAGTGTTGCATTGAAATTGTTTTCATATACACACAATAGAGAAATTCAGATCTAATAACCACTATTGTACTACAACCACTAGTGCCGCTCACCTGTATGTGTGTTACTGTCTGTGTTCACTGTTCACAGAGAGTAGCACCATCGGTGTGAAAAATTTCACATTGATGTGAATCAAGTGTAAAGTGTGAATCATGGAGGCACAAAGGCTTTAGTATCCAAAGATGGAATACTATAAAATCTGAAAGAGCCCGGGATTTCACATAGCAGGTGCACACAAAACAAAAGATATAATCTGGATGAATTTATTCACAAACAAACCTACTCACCATCTTATCAAATCAAATACCTTGGATAGAAAACTATCATAAGCGAGCAAATAATTGCTATCTGGATGGTCCTTTGGAACCACACGCTCATCTGCCCAGAATACGTGCCACTTCGACCAGTCGACCGAGTCAATATACGGAGGTTCAAGCAATTTCCTGTCAATAGGTTGTAATAAACTCAGACATTGATTTTGAAAAAAGATAAAGAATAATGAAGTCTAGAAGCCAGCATTGCATTGGTACATTACCCGAGACACTTGATGAGGGAACCGCCGGAGAACACTACGGAGAAGGAGCCCCTCTCTCTGCAAAATTTCTCCGATAAATCAGCAGTGCATTTCGCCAAAGACCCCTTTAATTCCTCTTCTGAATCGAAGACTTGAACTTTGGCCTTCATCTCCCCAGCAACAAAATCAGACATTGATGTTTTCTTCCAAGATCCAAATATTCTAATATCCTTCCCTGTTAAGGATAAGCTTTTGGGATAAACGCGGCTAGACAGCGGGGTGGCGAAGAAAGAATGAAATGACAACCGAAAGAATGGTGGTGATTGTCGGAGAAGATGGAATTGTGTAGGTACTACGTGCACGTTTCCAGAGAGCAGGCAGGGTGACAAGGCGGTGGGCATGGTGCGGTCAGGACAGGTTTATACAAAATGGAAATTCAGTTCTGAACAAAGGTTGTCCACCGAAGACGGTAAGAATCACTTTTTTGATAGTGTGGTAACAAAAAGCCATAAACACCGAAGACGTAAGAATCGCTTTTTTTTTTTTTGAAAAAAGGTAAGAAGCACTTTGGTTGATTGTTAGGTAAAAACCATTAAAAATGGATAATTCTGACTATACATCATGCATTACGTCATGATGTAGACCATGAAATTTTCATCAATGCCACTTGTATAAGGTGCCGGTGAAAAATTATCACATAAAAGTTTTTTTGTAAAAATTATCCACACCTATAAGTAGAATCAATGAAAATGTATTGTTGTCCACCATGGTGTAAATCAGGGGTGACCTAGAATCTTTTGGTCATGAGGTCCCATTTATGAAAACTGGTATTCACATATCAAGCATTAAGTAAAAACCTAATCTATAAAATTAAAGTTTATGTATAACATTAAAATTAGCAAATCACATGAAAATCTACAATGCTCTTACATTGTGAATAACTGAATATAAAATAGGCAAGGATCTTTTGACATTAAACATTCAATGTCAAAACGACCCGGGACACATACGGTGCTAGGTTGGTAAAATTGATGGAATTGGCGATCGGGGGGAAGGGGCTAGGGTTTGGGGGTAGGAACCATCAATTTTACCAACAGACAACGGACGACCATAGATGCCCAGGGTCATTTTGACATTGAAATGTTGAATGTAAAAAGATCCATTATGATATAAAATACATCTCAAAATTGGTAGCACCAAATTTTCATTTTTTGGAAGTGGTTTGTTAAAACATATCACTAGTTGTAGTAAAACTATCTTTCACTATGAGAATCTTAAATTAGAAATCTGAGCTCAACACCTCTCTACAATTGTTCTAAAATACAGATCATTGGGCTACCTCCTTTTTGAAGCATAGACTAAAGATTTTAAAGTCACAAATCGATTAAAAAAAATCATAGTGAGTAACATTATGTCTAAAAGTCTGAAGTATTAAACATAAAGTCTAGATTTTTCAGCAAAACTGAACAAGGTTTTGCTTTGAAATCAGAATCGTATACTAGAGTTCTGGAACTGAAATCGAATTGATGGGCAGGTTCTTAGAAACTAGGCCTGACTGTTGGGGAAAGTGTTACGGTTCCAGATCTCCGTTTCAGAAACTGGAACTGGCGATTCTCATTTTGATTTCATTTCTATTGTTCTTGTTTTTTTTTTTTTTGTTTTTTTTTCTGCTTTACAGACTAATTCTCAATTTACTTGTTGGTCTGATTCATAATATCAACAAATAAAAAATAGTATGAAGCAAATCTTATAACATTTTTAAAAAAAATTAAATTAAAACAAGTGGAACTGGAATCAATTCCGGTTAGGATTTCACCCCTGGAACCGGAACCGCATGTTTCAGAATCAAAATTGATATTGGACAGAAACCATGTCCATGAGTAGTTTTATGTTTGGAAAATTTTAATCCTGCAAAAATAGACATATATTTCATTTGACCTTGCAATTAGAGTACTAAAGTTAATCGATCTTGTTTTTTCATAGCACATCCCTAAACTCACGCTGTAAAAAAGAGGGGTCTTCAGTTTGATAGGGTACATACATACAAAGAGGTCTGAACATAATCAACCGCAAAAATTGACAATGCATTGAGAAGTGAGAACAGCAGCCGTTAAAGCGTGTATACTCATTCATTAATAATAAGAGCAAAAGGATTCATCAATAATATACGGAGTAATTAGGCATTGGAAAATAACGAACCTGGCAATTGCGAGTTGAGTCCTGGAGACAGAGACTTGTAGCGGCGCGGACGGCGGAGGTTGGAGGTGGACTGGCGGAGCTCCGATTGCGGTCAGCTGAGGGGTTCTGTTCGGCTGGGAGCGGGCGTTGCAACTTATGCGTATGAAGTTTAGAAAAAGAATGAAGCTGCTTCTAAGTTCTACCTAACCCACATAGACTTCTCATTTTGTGTATGTTAAGATAACGGTTCACACTTAGTAAAGATATCGGAGCCTAGTACGGTATGGTACGGTATTTAACTTGTATTGATATCGTATTAAATATTTCGGTTCGGTATGTGATTTTACGTTGTACCAATCCCGTTACCGAAACATCGGTTTGGTATAATTCGGAATGGTTCGGTAACGGTTTCGATACAAATCGGGATGAATATATATGTACTTAGTTTACATCATAAAATGTATCAAAACTTTTTATTTTTGGAAAATTGAAAGTACATTTAACCAAAAAAAGATAAAAAAAATTAAAAAATGAAAAAATAAAATACAAGTAATGCTTATGAAAGTTAGTTTATATTTCACATACTAAGGGGAACGAGTGATAATAAAGTATTATTTCAAATATTTTTTAATATTCTTATACTCATCTACAAAAAAATAAAAAACTATTATTAAAGTGTAACTTAAACATAATGAAATTAAACTAAATTGTCAATATAAATTTTTTATTTAATGAAGAAATATTAAAAGATTATTATTTTTATAATATATTAGTATATATGTTCGGTTTGGGAATTTCGGTATGGGAAGTAACCTCGTATCGTTCCCAAATACCAAACCGACCATTTGGTTCGGTACAATTCGGTTTCTTTTCGGTACTTTATCGATTCGGTATTCTCAGTTTTTTTGGGAAAAATCAGATCGTTTCGATCTTTGCTCACCCCTAGTTGACACAATACAAAATGCTAGTATAATTTTCTGTAAGTGCATTAGCATATTGTGTCAGTGTAAATCATCAAAATTAGAACTGACAAATTGGTCAAGTTCGAATTATTTCCTGTTCTGGTAAATTCGGACTTGGGTTGAGAACTCTGTGGTCATGATTTAGTGTCATCGGGTTCATGTCGACCCAAGGAGTTATGACTTTGTTTTTGAAATTATAAAATGTATATTAACACTTGTATTTCACATTAAATAAAACAAAGATTTCAAAGAACATACGTAATAAATCTATTATATTATTTTATTTTAAATTCTCAAGTAATTGTTACGTATATAAATCAATATAAAGAATTATTAAAATGCATAATTTTTTGAAGAAACTAAGATAATTATGTAAAACCATTTTAAAAAATTCTGAAAATATAAATTTATACACTAAAAACGAGTAGTAAGTAAAAAATAAAATTAGGCCATGTTCCATTCAACTTATTTTTTTGCTTTTTCCTTATTTTTATTAAAATTAGATCAGATCATACCTGATCAAATCAAATGAGATCTCATTAGATCTCATTAGATCAGATCCAATCAGATCAAATAATATCCAATCAGATTAGATCAGATCAGATCGAATTAAAAATTATTATTTTTATTTTTGTTGTTGTTGTTATTATTATTATTCTTACTATTTTAAATTACATACTTTTTACTTGTTTCACTTGATACGATATTTTTAAAAAATAAATTTAATTTCTCTTGATAAAATATAAGAAGAAGGAAAATGAAACTTTTGTGCGATTGTAATTTATGTAGAGAAAAATAAAATGAAATTAAGCACAATTTTTTTCTTAAAAATGAAAAAGAATAAACTTTAGAAACAAGTTAAATAGAAAAATGAGAAAGTAATCCTTAATTATTAGATGTCAGAAAAATTATTTTTAAAATACATTATCTAATTCTAGTTTTAAAATATATTTTTATTGCTACCTATAATCTGAATTTCTAAAGTTTTGATTCTTTACTACATCGAGTTGATCAGCTTTGGTCATGACTTCAATAAAATTAACATTTCATATTCATACATGGACTTTATTTTAGTGTAAATAATCATAAAATAAAAAATATTGATTATATTATAATATGAATTATCATTACAATTTTTAAACGTTATTATAAAGTCAGATCAAATTATTGATTTGAATTTTAAATCAAATCGTAATTAATCAGATCAGATCCAAACATATCAGATCTAATCAGATCAGACAATATCAGATCAGATCTAATTAGATTAGATCAGATCATATCCAATCTGATCAGATCAGATCAGATCCAAGTAGATAAGATCAGATCCAATTAGATCAGATCAGATCAAAAAAACTAAGGTGAACGAAATGGAGCCTTTTTAACTTATTTTTATTCAAATATAATTCATAGTAAAGCATATGATTCTAAATAGTTCATATATATGCAGATAAGTCTTGTCGGGTTCCGTTAGGTTTGACCCATTTTAAACAGTGTCATTTTGGGTTTAGTAAATATATAAAATCTTTGTTCAAAACACAGTATTCTCCAGTCGAGTTTTGGATAAAAAATAGGTCGGGTCATTTTTTGTTACGTCTAATCGAAATGGAAGTGCATAGCTTTGGTTAGGGGTGAGCGTGATACGGTATTTAGTTCGTACTGATAATGTACCAAATATTTCAATCCGGCATAGAATTTTACATTGTACCGATTTCAAAGTATCGGTTCAGTATGGTTCGTGATGGTTCGGTTCCAGAAAATATTGGAATGAATATATAGATGTACCAAATTTACACGTTGAAATGTAGACAAAAAGACTACACGCTCAGCATAAAGCTGAGTGGTACGATAACGTGAGAGATCGATAACATATTTATACTTAAATACCATGCATCACATTGGCCACATAATTTTCATGCTTGCATAGTAGATAGAACAAGATACAAGATACATGTATACATATCATGGACATTTTGGAATATTATCCAAATATAAATACCTTGGCCTTGTCGTCGACGATGTTGGATATGAAGTGCAGTATGTTTTGCAATACCGCGTACCAATTGATAACTAAGATCTGCATAATTACTTACAAATGATTCATGATGCATGAGTTAGACTGCGCAGTGACCCCATTTGAAAGGTAACCACGGTTGGGAGGGCAGCGAAAATACAAAAAAATAATCTCCTAATAGTGATTACTAGCCCAAGAACACGTACTAAAACTATAGCTAGAGATAGAAACTTATACCTTCTCCAGTTAGCGGTAATGACGATAAATCGGGGAAAGGCGTTGAATGAGCAAATGTAGCCGTTCAAGCGTTCGGCCTCCAACTTTGACACACGAACAATCTCCGGAGTCTACTATAATCTTTATGCTAGTAAATATTATAATAGTATATTTTAATATAAAGATTATTTTAGGGATAATATTGTTGGACAATGTGCTATCATGAATATATATTTTTGCAATGTCCTTTGCCCATTGTCTTTTAGGTTTTGATAATGACAAAAGGGTGACAAAACATCATCATCATATTGTGCATCAAGGCTAAGAATCAAAGCTACAACAAGTTCATATCCGTTCGTGAAGAAGGGACTTGAGCATCGGTGGAAGGAACGAGACCGAAGAGGTTGTTTCCTTAGTTGAGTAGTGTTTTAGGTCTTAGATTATGTGTTAAAGAGTATGGCATCTCTAAGGTTCATTCCCTTATCATCTTACCTTTAAAACTCATTTTAGATCAGCCTTTGTGTGGGGAAGTTGCCTTTCTATTTGAATAATCTTTAGTTTATTCGAATAAGTCGTGATCTTTCCTGTGACTGAAATTAACCTTTTTTATTCGAATAAATCACCATTTGTTCGAATAAGTCTTGGCTTTTCACCCTGATTTATTCGAATAAATCACCATTTATTCGAACAGGAACTGGTTTTTCAAGCCACACGATTGATCCAAACTATTCGAATAGTTCTTGAGTTATTCGCATAAGTCGATAGTTTCAACTACCAAACGGCTAGTTTTTTGAATGCTTTTCATCCCTATCCACTCCCTAACTTCTATAAACTATCTACTTTCGTGATTATCTTGATGAGAACACTTTGAAGAACATATCCTTTGAATATCCAAAGAGATTCTACTCAATCCCCTCTTTATATCCAAGCAAGGCAATTGTTTTGATTGCTAAATCATTTCTTGAGTTTTTCCTCATTGCTTGAGTCTTTGAGAGATATGGCTATATTCTAAAGGACTTCATTTTATTTGCAACAATCTACTTCGTGTTGGGAGAATTACTCGGTTGCGGTTTGTTTTCTTACTTTAATGTAAGGGATTTGTATTCTTGGTGTTGGGATTACACCAAGTGATAGAAATCCTAACAGTTTGTGAAATCAAACGTTAGGTGGAAGAAATACTGAGTTTTGTGAAATCAAAACTTCGGTGGTAAGATAAGAGGCTTGTGAAATCAAGTTCTCGAGTTGTATTCGGATTGTCAAACTCCGTTAAGTTTGACGGGTTAGTGAAGGCATGGGCACGATTGGTTCGGGGACTAGATGTAGGCATTTAGGCCGAACTAGTATATATCGTGTGTGCATTGCTCTTATCCTTCACTTTATTTTGTTTGTGGTGCATTGTTTTTACTGAATATTCGTGAAGAATATTTCCGCGTAAAAACTGGTCTTTTGGGCAACATCTCTATTCACCCCCCTCTAGAGGTGTGCGAGACGTCTAACAAATATAAATCTTGTATATTAAATACTAGAAAATATATTAATAATATTTTAAAGAAAATATTATGTCAATTTTCTACCCCCAAAATAATGATTTTGGAAACCAAAATTATTTCCTCTCTCTTGCTCCTTATTCTTCACGCATGTTTTGTGGGAAAGTGGGGGGAGTGTATTTAATGTCCATCATCATCAAAATAATAATGGTATGTAACATACATACATATAAAAAAAGTACAAAAGTACTTTAAGGCATGATGGGAACAATGCCACCCATCCATCCCATATGTATAGTACGAAAGTAGAAAGGGAGGGAAAATTTTAATTTTTCTCCTCTCAAATATTCAAAGTGTATTTTTTTTGACATCAATAATTTTTATGATATAAAATAAAATGCCCAAAAAATTTTAAAACAAGTATATAAAATATACTTTAAAATAGTTTTTGTCAAAATAATTATTTTCATAATTAAAATGACATTCCAAAATAAAATGTTCACAATATAATATATAAAAGT